ACATTATCTGATGTATTATGAACATGATCATCAAAATTACTTGGAAAATATAACTTTCGCACCATGGAATGAATGGGGACCGTGGCGGGCGCGCCGTGCACTGCCGACGGCGTTAGGCCGTCACTCGACCATTTCTACTCTTACTTCCGCAACTCAAGAACACTTAAACATGAATCATTATTTAAGGCTATAGCAATACGATTAATAAAACAACCTGACCAGAACTTGAACCCACACCATAACTTAATGCGGCCCGCGGTCACGCGCGATGTGCGCGGCCACCCGCTCGGCCGGACTTCCGACTAACATACTCATATATCAATAAATCCAAGTAATTGAACATGTCATCACATAATTAAGTCAAATAGGGTCTGATTGCTGAAGAATTTCTGAAACCACCTGATGACTGATACCATTTTACCTACGAACACACACACACGGACACCCCCGGACATACACGGCCAACTGGCCCGAGACTTCAACCAAACAGAAATAATTTATCACTACCATGACTAATCAGAAGTGATCTTGTCTTACCTTCTCACAATCTTGATCGAAAGTCGCAAGAAAGACACGATTGCTTGGCCCCTCGCGTGCTTGTCCGTGTGCCGCGGTTTGCCTTACGGTGCAGTGTTAATTGCTAAGCTTGAAGTATGGAAAGGTGTGAATAATTTGCTAATTTCTCCTACCCTCTGAACTCTGAACTTTAGTTGCTGAAGTAATATAGGGAAAATGGGGAAAAATTCGAACCAAACTCCTCTCTTTATACTTAAGTCAAATGTTGGGAAAATTATGAGGGTGACGCGGTGAAAACGTGGCCTTTTTGGCTCTTAACATTTGGTTGCAATTTAGCTAGTTGGGGATGACTAAGCATGCTCTAATCTTGCCACGTTTCATGATCAAATGTGAGGAGGAAATATTTTCCCAACTTAGAAGAAAGCTTGCGGAAGTGGGAAAATTTGGAATAGTAAATCATGGCTTATGGACTTAATTCTCACGGCTTGGACATGACATTGCGATAAGTTGCTTAATCAATCACTAAAATATGTTTAATTATTCAATTAAACATAATGCTTAATTACCAAAATTATTCCGGACGTAAACGGTACGTCGAAAATAATTTTCGGTAATCTCGACTGAAAGTAATTAATTCCGAAAATAATAATTGACAACGTTATTATATCGGAACTAAAAACATAATTTATACCGATAAAATATCGGGATATTACAATCCTCCCTCCTTACAAAATTTCCGTCCTCGGAAATTCAAAACATAACCGACATACATGAACTATGTACATAGGATATAAAAATATGTACATCAGAACTGAAAATCTGGGAAACGAGCGCGAATATCAGACTCTTCCTCCCAAGTAGCTCCGTGGCAATCCCACTGAACACGCACGAGGGGAATATCTCGCTTCGGGAGCCGACGAACCTGACGGTCTAGTACAGCCACCGGTCGCTCCTCGTACGATAGATCTGGCTGAACCTGAATATCCGTGTGAGGAATGACATGATCGGGGTCACACACGTACTTACGCAACATAGATGCGTGGAAAACATTATGAATGCCTCATAATTCAGGAGGTAGGGCTAATCGATACGCGACCTCGCCTACTCGCTCGAGAACCTCGAACGGACCGATGAATCGAGGGCGCAACTTCCCTCTCTTTCCGAATCGCACAACTCCGTGAATCGGAAGAACTCTGAGAAAGGCTGGCTCGCCAACCTCGAACTGAATGTCTCATCGATGATGATCGGCGGAAGATTTCTGTCGACTCTGAGCTGTTCTGAGTCTCTGCCGGATCAACTCGACCTGCTCCGCTGTTTCATCGATCATTTTAGGACCGAGTACTCGCCGCTCTCCGACGTTCTCCCAATAGAGAGGGGAACGACACTTGCGACCATAAAGTGCCTCGTAAGGAGCCATCTGAATGGAAGAATGATAGCTGTTGTTACACGCGAACTCGGCGTACGGCAACAACGACTCCCACTTAGCACCCCTGTCAACAACCAAAGCGCGAAGCATATCCTCAAGCGTCTGAATGGTTCGCTCTGACTGACCGTCCGTCTCCGGATGGTAAGCTGAACTGAACTCTAGCTTCGTGCCCATCGCCTCATGTAAACTGTGCCAGAATCGACTGACGAATCTGGGATCTCTGTCTGATACGATCGTAACAGGCACTCCGTGGAGTCGAATGATCCCACGGGTATATATCTCAGCCAACTTTTCCAGAGACATCTTCATCGAAACGGGTAAGAAATGCGCAACCTTAGTCAATCTGTCGACCACGACCCAGATAGCATCGTGATGTTCAGACGACCTCGGTAATCCCGTAACGAAATCCATCGTGACTTCCTCCCACTTCCACCTCGGAATCGGCAGTGGCTGCAGGAGGCCGATCGGACTCTGATGCTCGGCTTTGACTTGCTGACAGGTAAGACATCTCCTGACGAACTCGGCGACGTCTTTCTTCATGCCTCGCCACCAGAATGACCTTTTCAGGTCGTGATACATCTTCCTGCTCCCGGGATGGGCCAGATAGGGTGCGGTATGAGCCTCTGATAAAATCTCCTTGCGCAACGCCTCGACCTTCGGGACCACGATTCTGCCTCTGAACTCTAGGGCACCATCGGCACCTAACTGAAAATCCTCGACGCCTCCGGCGCGAACCTTGGCCTCCATGACACGAACAAACTTATCAGAAGCCTGCTCTCGCCGGATTCTCTCTCTCAGCGTCGGCTGAAGCTGCATAGCACTGACACTGGCACTGGTACTCCCTGAAACGGCTATGGGAAGTGCATCTATCGCCTGAATCTGCATCCGGGCAAACTCCTGAATCAATGGACTCTGCTGCGTAATGACGTACGTCAAGTCACCCTTCACCTTTCGGCTAAGGGCGTCCGCGACGACGTTCGCCTTTTCCGGATGATACTGAATAGAGCAGTCGTAATCCTTGACAAGTTCGAGCCAACGGCGCTGTCTCATATTAAGCTCCTTCTGCGTAAAGATATACTGCAGGCTCTTATGATCTGTAAAAATCTCGCAACGTCCGCCATAAAGATAATGTCGCCAGATCTTGAGAGCATGTACGACTGCTGCTAACTCCAAGTCGTGCGTCGGATAGTTCTGCTCATGAGGCTTAAGCTGACGTGAAGCATACGCAACGACCTGGCCGTCCTGCATAAGGACACATCCCAAGCCCTGTCTCGAAGCATCGCTGAAGATAGTGAAACTCCAAGAAGGATCGGGAATAGTCAACACCGGTGCTGAAGTTAACCTTCTCTTGAGCTCCTGAAAGCTCGCCTCACATCAATCAGTCCATTCGAACTTCACAGACTTCCTCGTCAGCTGGAATAGAGGGAGGGCGATCTTGGAGAAACCCGCGATAAACCTGCGATAGTAACCAGCTAAACCGAGAAAACTGCGAACCTCGGACGGACTCCTCGGTGTCGACCAATTCTGAACGGCTGAGACCTTGGAAGGATCCACCTCGATACCTGTCTGAGTAATCACATGTCCCAGAAAGGATACTCGCTGGAGCCAGAACTCGCATTTGGAGAATTTGGCGTACAACTTTTCTCGTCTGAGGGTTTCGAGAACCACCCTCAGATGCTCCTCGTGCTCCTTCTGGCTCTTCGAGTAGATAAGAATATCGTCAATAAAGACAATAACGAACTGATCGAGGTAGGGATGGAAAATACGATTCATGAGGTCCATGAAAACAGCTAGCGCATTGCTGAGACCGAAAGGCATGACGACGAACTCGTAATTGCCGTAACGAGTCCTGAAAGCGGTCTTAGCGATATCTGACTCCTTAATCTTCAGCTGGTGGTAGCCTGATCGTATATCAATCTTTGAGAACACACAGGCTCCCCTCAACTGATCAAATAAGTCGTCGATCCTGGGAAGCGGATACTTGTTCTTGATCGTCAACCGGTTAAGATCCCGGTAGTCGATACACATGCGCATGGATCCATCCTTCTTCTTAATAAAGAGAACGGGTGCTCCCCATGGTGACACGCTCGGTCGGATGAAACCGAGTCGTAACAGCTCCTGAATCTGGGTCTTAAGCTCCTGGAACTCCTTAGGCGCCATACGATACGGGGCTTTGGATACTGGACCGGCCCCTGGGATGAGATCGATAGAAAAATCCACCTGCCGGTTAGGCGGTCCTCCTGGAAGCTCGTCTGGGAACACGTCCACAAACTCGCGAATGATTGGAACATCATGAGGTGTTCGCGCTTTCTGAGAATCATCGACAAGGCTAACCAGATAACCCTGGCAGTTGCCTCGTCGCAGTAGCTTAGTGGCTTTCGCCATCGAAACAACATGAGGCAGTGAACGATTCCTGGAACCGAAGAAAGTGATCGATTCGTCTCCCGGAAGATAGAGAGTGATCTCTCGGTCATGACACCTGATGTCTGCATGACAGAAGGATGGCCAATCCATTCTGAGAATAAGGTCGAAGTCCTTCATCTCGAGAACAAACGCGTCGGCAGTCAATACTCGGCCACCGATGGAAAGGCTAAGATCTGAGGCTTTAGCTGAGGTCACTATCTTTCGTCCCGAGGCTAAACTCACCTCGAGAGGATCGACAGCGGTAACGGCATGAACTCCGATGGCATCGAGACATCGTCGTGAAATAAAAGTATGCGTCGCTCCAGTGTCGAATAAAGCAAACACAGGAATATCATTGAGCACAACCATCCCTGACATAGTACCTGGCTGCTGCGCTGCCTCTGCCTGATCAACCGCGTAAACCCTGGCCTGCTGTCTGCCCCTCTGCTGCTGCTGCTGAGGCGGCCTCTGTGCCTGCTGATGTGGCTGCTGCTGCTGTGGCTGCTGCTGCTGTGGTGGCTGCTGAGGCTGCTGGGGCTGCTGCTGGAGTCTCTTCGGACAGCGACTCGCAAAATGTCCTGGCTCATGGCAGTAATAGCAGATGTCCTATCCTACATGGCACTCTCCCCGATGAAGTCGTCCACAAGTCGGGCACGGTGGAATCAGCTGCTGTCTCTGTCGGGTGCTCCGGTCCGTCTGTGCACCCTTCCCCTTCCTCTTCTTCTCCTTTACCGGCTGAGGGGCTGGTAACGTTGGTGGAGCTGCGAATGGCTGAACTGGGGCGGATGGCTGGGCACGATCACGAACTGCCTCCCTCCTGATGCTAGCGTCCACCTCCTGGGCGATAGAAACTACACGAGCGTAGGTCTGAGTCCCGTGTCCCACGATATTGTGACGGACTGCTGGGAAAAGCCCGTCAATGAACCGCTGAGCTCTCTGAGCCTCCGTGCGAACCAGGTCCGGTACGAAAGCTGCAAGTCTAGTGAACTCTCGCTCGTACTCATCAACTGTACGAGTGCCCTGCTGGAGCGCTAAGAACTGACGCTCCATCTCTGCCCGATAGTAGGAAGGGTAGTACTTTTCACGGACTAGATCCTTAAACATGTCCCATGTACAACCCGCTTTTTCACCGAGACGCATGCTCCAGTAGGCATTCCACCAGAGCCTTGCATCACCAGTGAGCTGAAGCTGAGCGCAAACTATGCGATACCTATTGGGGCATTCCATAACCTCAAAGATAAACTCTAAACCCTGAATCCATTCATCAATGATGCGGGGATCTCCCTGCCCTGAGAACTTTTCAGCGTGATAGTCACGGAACTGAGCGACTACCGTAGCATGAGTAGGAGCCTAATGATCGGGTTCCCTACGTGGCGGCATCTGAACATTGAGAAAGTTTAACATTGTTGAATACGTGATAACATCTTGACTGATTATTAAGGCATACAAATCTCTTGACGAGTCGCCAAAAGTGGCCGATAAATACTGACGTGAATCCTGAAGAACTCTAGAGTCATATAGGAAGATCCTAATGTCTAGAGTCATATCTGAATGCCTGAATTCTAGAGTCATATCTGAAAGTTCTGACGTCTAAAGTCATGTCCACACTCTAAAGTCTGAACTGTAAACTTCATTAAGGATCTTGAATAAATAATTTGTGTGTATACGAAACACTTACTTGATGCGGAAGACGACATAATGTGTGATCTTGATCTTGATAATCACACGAGGTTGAATTAAGTGTTAGATCTAAATCAGTTTCTCCCTCCTGGCCTTCTCTTAATGTAGCAGAAAAGTGATGGGAAAAATACTGCGTACCCTAATAGGAGGAGAGAGG